ATATAGAGTCAATTCACTTGATATTCAGTGAAGCGCTTTGAGACGTCTCAAAGACATGATGTTGCGCAATATCAAATGCAAGGATTATTATTATTATTGATTATATTCATTACTAAACAAAACAAATCTTTCAGAAGAAAAGATAGGTGTCAGGCCTGGCTTGAGATTCTGTGTCCCATGCTGGTAGAAGGTTTTCCTTTCAGAGCCTTGGGGCATCTTCCTGGAGTGAAAGGAGCTCTACAAATGCAATTTGTTTTTGTTGTGTTTTCTGAAGGTGAATTATAAATAATAATCCTTGCATATAGTATAGCGCCTCTCACGATGGGAGGACTTTTAATGTAAAGTGCAGTGATTGTGTTTCAGTCACTATGCCCCGAAACTCTGGAACGCCCTGCCTCAACCCCTTCGCCTTGCACCCTCCTTGCCAGTCTTCAGATTGCACTTGAAGACCTTCCTCTTTGACTTTGCCTATACTCACTAACCCTCTCTCCCCAGCTCAGCATCAAGTTTCACCACTGTTAAACGCTCTGAGATACTACCCTGTGTGAGGGGCACTATATAAATGCAAGTTGTTGTTGTTGTGTTTTTAGTATTGTGCACAGCAATATCTCACAAACAACCACAAAATAAACAAATGATCAATTTTACTTAGCCAAGCTGACACGCACGAGTAGCAAGAGACGAGGGGGAAACAAAAACTAGTTGAACGTAGACTACATAGCTCAGCAACCTACTGGTTAATACTACCTAGAAACCATTGGGTGAACTGCTTTCTGAGATGTACCTATGTGCATACTCTGGGCAGGATTACCTTAGCTTTGACATGGGATTGTTTGTGCTTCCCACCCTCCATGCTGTTACCCACTGCTGAATTCCACTCCTTACTTCAGCCGGGACATTGACACAGCTTAGTCTGTTGCACATTTCAGTGGTCTGTACACCACACTGTGGGTGGGACTGGATCAACTAGTTCTCATTTCTCCTTATGCACCTGTGCATCAAGTGAGTGAGTTACGTTAAACAGCACTTAAGTGGGTAAAAAATATTGGAGTCCAAAAGATTAACCTCTGTCAAACTGTTTTGGAGCTGAATAAGAGTGCTTCAGTGTAGCATAACAAGGAAGCAACTGAACAAGTTAATTTCCTCAGCTTCTTTACTAATTTACGATGGGTTGAATCACCTCCTAACGTGCTGTAGGTTTCTGCAGCTCTAAAATCTGTTCCCATGCCAGCAAAGAGCAGAGATTGTCAGATCACAATCCAAGATGTTCTCTGTGACACTCGCATTCTCACAGTTCAGAGCAGAGACAGAGCTGATTGACAGGTGAGGGCAGGCAATTGAAGAAGAGGAAGTCGGGCTATCAGCGGTCGGGCCTTCAGCCTCTCTGCCCCCACCCTCTGGAACACCATCCCACATTCCCTTTGCCTCGCTCCCTCCCTTGCATCCTTCAAAGCACACCTCAAGACCCACCTCTTTGACCGTGCCTTCAGCCACCCTGCTCCCCTCTGCCCTCCCAACCACCATCCCTAACCCTAGCCCCAATCCCCACCCACACCCCCCACCGCCCGCTCGTGTTCTAATCCCTGACTGTTCAGCAGCTTGGGACTTCGTCCCGACGTGAAAGGTGTTTTAAAAAAGTAATGTTAAATTGTATTGTATTTCATAACGTGTTCCTTGGGATAACTATTCAAACACAACGCCACAAATTGCACCTCAATATTTCAATGGCCATATTTTACAAACAAACGTGTACAAAAACGTCATTCATTGCCAACAAAAAGAGATGTAATACAATACTATTATTATTGTTGGTACATATTTACATTTATGTAATAATAATCCTTGCATTTCGGATAGTGCCTTTCATGTCAGGAGAACGTCCTAAAGTGCTTCACATGATTTACGATAAAGTGGAGTGACTGTGTGTTTTGTGGATAAACACAGCAGCCACTTTTGCACAAAGCAATGTCCTGTAAACAGCCCACAAAGTGAATGACCAATTTTATTTTGGGGCAATGTTGGCTGGGACCCTAGGAGAAACTCCCTTCACTTTTCAAATAGTGCTGTGGGATCTTCAAAGTCCACTTGAACAGGCAAACAGGATCTTGAAGTAACATCTCATCCAAAGGAAGGCACCTCCAACAATGCAGCACTCACCCCATACCTGCTGATATGTTGCAAAAAGATGATTAAATAAACTCCAGTCAATTACATGAGAAAGTGGGCAGAAATGAAATCCTATATCAATTTAATCTTGCGGACAGGTTAAATGCGTAAAATGAAATTGACCACAACCTGATAATACATTACATTGCATGGTGTGGTATTGAGTCACAGTAACATAGAGGTCTCTTGAGCTACTTTTTAATAGGATTCCTTAATAAGGACAATGTGGCAAAAACAACTTGTATTTATATAGTGCCTTTCACACATAGACTAATATCTCAGAGTGCTGTACAAACATAGGGTCAGACACTGAGCAAGGGAGCGGAGGACAGGAGAAGGGGGTAACAGCCATCAGCATGGTCGATGAGATGGTAATCAAAGAAAGAAAAAAAATCCTAAAATTTTATAACGTTTTTCATGTCTGGAGGATGTCTAAAAGTGGTTCACATGATATACGGTAAAATGTGTGATCATTTTTTTTGTAGGTGAAAGCGGCAGTCAATTGCGCACAGCAATATCACACCAACAGCTATGAAGTGAATGACCAATTTTATTTGGAGAATTGTTGACCAGGACACCGGAGAAACTCCCGTCATCCAGCCCACGAACAATTTCCGACTTCATTGTCTGACGAGCAAATACAGCTGACAAGTAGGCCCCGAGCCCATCAGAAGATGGTCACTGAGGACTCAGGCTCTACCCAAAGAGAGGGTTAGGGTCAGGGTTACCCAGCAATGGGAATGGCCATTCGGGATAAAATATTGCTTATGTGGCCCGCAGACATTTCTCAAATCCAAAATTCAGCCCCCCAGCAGCCAAAAGGTTGGCCTGGTGTGGGGCTTCAACCTACAACCTTCTGACTCAGAGGTAAGATTGCAACCAAACAAGACAGAGTGTAAAATTCCAGGATTTTTTATGATAACCGGAAAGTTACAATCAAATCAGCAGGGTAAGTGTTAATATCCACACAATGATGCGGTGTGGAGGTCCTGTTAATCTTTAGCTTTACCGTGGCGAAATACTTGAGCAGCAGCCACCAAATAACATATAATTAGGTATGTAATTGGGTCAAAATCCATAAAAGGATGTTTCTGAGAAGGTTAGAGAGGTTTGAAAGGGGTTAGCGTACTATGTTGATTTTAGTGAGCATTTTAAATAGTCTTTGTGCACAGCACAAAGGAAGCACAAAGGATATAAATAAAGTACTGACTAATTGTTGACTGAGCATTTTTCATACCTCGCTTTGAATATGTTCTCTTAACAACCAGGAAGGAGTCAAACCATTTTGTAGCTGTAATCTGTATTATGCTCAGCAAACAATAATCACAATTTATTTTCTCAGTCAATGAACCTTCTGTCAGAGAGTAAACCACAGAGAGATACGTCAAAAGGCGGTATTTGCATGCACCTTCCTTCTGTTTTTCCGAAGTCATTACACACCGAATATTTGCACTAAATATTCAATATTTCCAGTTTGCTAATGTTGAAAGCTTCCCGTGTCTCTGGTAGCCCTCTCTGTGAGGCACAGCTTACAGAAATTGCCTGTCTCAATTTTCCCTGTTGCATTAGGTATAATTCTTCCCTTGCTTTCCCGAAGCCTTGTGCTGGGCACTTCTGCTGAGTTCTATGCGAATCCTTCACCTCCTGCTGCTTTGCCCAAGGTTATTTCTCAATCCTGAGTCCTGAGGTTACAATTCTGAATTTATAGGGAAGGACATTATAGTCAATCTCAATTCTGTCCTCAACAAATTACCTTTATTATAGCGTCTTTCACATCAGGAGGATGCCCAAGGCACTGGACGGTTGAGGGTTTACACCTGAGCTGAGAGTTGGATTTGGGAGCAATGTGGCCAAGGGGAATGGGGCTGGGATGATGACCAAAAATGCTGTCAAAGATGGGATGGACCTTGAAGAAGGCAAGGAAAGGGGCAAAGTGAAGGGACTCCACAATGGAGTTCCAGATAATAGCAGCTGAAAGGCTGAATGCCCGACCACCGATGGTGGGGAAGGCGGGGCTGGGTATGTGAAGCATGCCATTGCCTGCCGAACGGAAGGAGTGGGTGGGTTGGTAGGGTTTTAGAAGGTCATGGAGGTAGAGTGAGGCAACAGTGGAGGGATTTAAAAGTGAGGACAAGGCTCTTGGAGTTGGGGAACCAGTGAAGTCAGACAAAGATGGGGCTGATAGCTCGTGGAGCTTAGTGCGGGAGAGGACATGAGCTGCAGTGTTCTGAACTTTGTGGAGGGAAGAGTTGGGAAGTCTGGTGAGCAAAGATTTGATGTAGTCAACCCTGGTCAGGATAAAAGCATGGGTAAAAGTCTCGATGTGCCAAAGGGAGAGGTCATGGTGGAGGCAGGCAATGTTGTGCAGGTGGGGCAAAGCTGAACAGGTGTGAACAAAGCATGGTTGTGAACTTTAAAGGACAGTTGAGAGTCGAATAAGACACCAAGGTTCCACACTGACCCCATGAGGTGGAGTGTGCATCCATGTAGATTGATGTTGTCAGCAGCTGAGGTGAGAAGGCACTGACAGGAGCCAAGCAGGAGAAACCAGACCCTTCCTTTTCTCTCTGGATCAATTCATCACTCAGCAATGAACTTCCCAGTGAGCCATTGACGAACTGAGCATTTAATTTTAAAGAATAGTGTTGTGATGTACAAGAGCCAAGAAGTATTCCCTTACACAGAAACTAGAACCAGTCACAAGTAGGAAGAACGGTTGAGGCCAGGACACTGGACACATTTAAGGAAAAACTCAATGCTGTCATGGGAAGCCTGTAAGGTTTGTATTCTGTAATGAGATGAGGATATACCATATATAGGTGCCATACCTCTCCCATGAAGCTCTCCGGAATTAGGTAAGCGGGGTGTGTCCATCCAGGGAGACAGGGTACGTTCCATTCAAGACACAGGGATATTTCAGACTGGTTTGCATACTCTTAAGCATGGTGATGGGTATCCACATGTGTCTAATTAAAAACAGAAAGGTACATGTCATTGTGTATCACAGCATGTCACAAAGAGGTCCCAGACCACGATTAGAGAGTGCTTGTGAGGGCCAGTCTGAATATAGCAGTGTTTAACACCTCTGTGAGGCAATGAAACAAATACCTGGCATGTAGTGCCAAGAGGTGCAAAATTCAAAACAGCGTTTGCGAACTCTTAAAACGATTCAACAGACCGACCCTACAATATTTCCATAATCCAGCAGCAAAAGGCTAAACTTAAAACAACAACGATAACAAGCTCTACATTCTCAACTTCAGATCCTTATCTTAGGAATTAGGTTACAAAAGAGACCCAGACAGGCCCAGAGAAGTTTTGCTGTATCAAGACCCTTCAGTCATGAGTGCTTGAGTGCCTGTGTCACTGGTGCTTTGGGGGGAAAAAAGGAATGCACAGCAACTGCAAACTTTAATCGAATTAGTCCACTGTCCTTCAGTTCAAGCATCTTATTTGGAGGACGAAAAGCAATCTTACAGAAAGAGGGAGTGTGTGCATGAATGGGGTTGTCCTGCACTTTAAAGCAAGCCTTTATCATTTCACTATCAGATTTACGTGAAAGGGAATGCTGTCTGGCCACCAGTTCCAGGCTCTTTTGTGAAACTGTTTCTTTATAAAGCAGCTGCTGGTATTGAATGAACTCAATCAACTGCTGCCCTGGCATCTGCTTCTGTTTTCTTGTACACAACATTTCGTTTGAGTTTCGAGATTAAAACCAGGCCAGTGTAAGTGACAGCTCGGCACCCACTGCTGAGGACTGTTTGTGGGAGAGCACGCAGAATATGTCATGCATCACTGCTAACAAGGTGACAAAACAATGGGATGGTAACATATGCTTATTCGGAATTTCCAATCTTCTAACAAATGTCGAACAGTCATACATGTAAAGCCTACCCTTGCTTTCTGCCTCATTTTGTTATACTTATTAAAGAGTTTAATGGATGTATATTTCTTGTAGATTACTTACAGATGGTTATAATTCTGCTGTCACCGTACTCACTGCGTAAACATAAATCTGTATTTTGAAACGTTTATCTCAGGACATCTTTTAAAAGCGATACTTAAAACAGCTTTCAGTCTACAGAAAAATATTTTTTGGCGTAAAAGTAATTTTCAGTGTAAAAAATGCTTTGCTTAACTGTTTCACATTTGATTGTCGTGTACAATGAGTTGGGGGTGGAGTGGGGGGAAGCAATTTTCTATTTTCTTTGCAAAACAAGTTGAATTGAATATTTCAGTCGCATTCTGGGGTCGGTGAAAAATGTGAAATTTCATAACAGATTTAATTATCGCAGTGTCTCAATTTTCACCCTACTTTTTTTAAAAAAAAGAGATTTTCTTCACTTGAAACCTACCTGTGAGGGCCCCAAAGATTTAAACGATAACTGAACTGTCCGATGCAGCACTCAAATTATACAGGCAGACAGGTTGCAGGCTTGAGTCCCTGTCGATGCTGATCTGAAACAGACGAGAAATTGGGGTGTTTTAACAATTTAAACTTATATAGTACCTTTCATTTTGGGAGAACTTCTCCAAAAGCACTTACAAAGAGGGAGTGGGAAACCGAGTTGGGAGGGGTGGGGTGGGGGTTGGGGGGTGGCAGAGATAGCCTAAAATGCAACAACAACAAAGAAAAGAAGAAAGTCTTGAGATGGACCTTGAAGAGGTACATCTAATTAATTATCGCATTGAATCTGTTAAGAAGTGTCTCAATTTTCATCCTACTTTTTTTAAAAAAGAAGAGATTTTCTTCACTTGAAACCTACCCGTGAGGGTGGGATTTGAAAGAAATGGTTAGGAATTGGGATTCAGGAGAGAATTCCAGAGGAGTGAGGGGGAGAATGTGACTGAAGGCCAGCCCACTGGGGAGCAAGAAGCCGACTGGAGTTGGCTGTATGAAGAGTGGCTGGGTCAGGCGGAATAGGGTCACAGGAGAGTGCACAAATAGGGTGATGCAAGGCCATAGAGGCACTTGAAGGCAAAAACAAGGATCTTCAAGTTGATCTGTTGGGGGATAAATGTTGGGGGAGCCTCAGTGCTTCTGGGGTTGAGCTGAAGGTTCCTACTCCTGTTTGCTGTCTAGAGACTCTGCTGAAAGGAACACGTGTGGGGATGTCATATGAGGACATGATTGGGCTGGGCTGAATATCCTGCCAACACTCACTGCCAAGATTCACATGTAAACAAAGTGCATTTAGGCACTGTACCAAAGCATGTCTGGTGCCTGTGTAACTGTACCCTTTAATTCCGCTGCCTGTTTCATGTGCCCCTTCCTATCCACCCCACCATCAGGAGGTGGGCTTCTCAGCCATGGCAGTCAAGTATGTTTCCACTCCACAACATTCTGACGCCAATGGGATGGACCCCCATAACCTTGTGAGCCCTGGACAGCAGCATTGTTGGACTTTAAACGATTTTGTCCCTGCTCTCTGGAAGTCCATCTCAGAGTCCCTCTGACTCGCTCCCTTCCTCATCTCGTTCAAGACCTGTCTGAACTATATCTTCCACTGTGCTGTCATCTTCCCTCCTCTTGACTCCGACTTCCAAACCCAGTTGAAATAGTGGAAAATAAACCTGTTTTACGTTTTGTTATTTTTGAACGGTGTAAGAAAGACATCGGGAGGACGTCCCAAAGCACTTCACTGAACATACTGTAAAGTGAATTGACTGTATATTTGTGGGCAAACGCGGCAGTCAATTGCACACAGCAATGTCCCACAAACAGTCGTAGATTGAAAACGACCAATTTATTATTGTTTTTTTTTGGAGGGATTATTATTAGGCTCTGTGTGGAGTAAGGAAACTTGCCCAAGGTTTCGCCCTCTGCCTGGAATTGAACTCAGGTCTCTCACTTGCAAAGCGAATGCTCTAACCACTGAGCTACAGGACTCCACAGTGTGGTACATATTAAAGTGATACCTTTCTTCTTTCCACAGATGAACAGGGAGACCAGAGTTGGTGAAGCAGAGGGTATCCTTGTGACACAGGAGATTGAAGAGATAGGGTGGTGCATGACCCAGGAGGCATTTGATGGTGAAGACGAGGATCTTAAAGTTAATCTGCTGGGGGGATAAGGAGGCTCAGTGCCACCAAGGAGGCTACCATATTGTTTGGAACTCATATCACAGAAATCATAGATTTCTAAAGCGCAAAAGGTCTTGTCTTCCAAAATTCAAGATGATGCTGTTGTTGATAAATAATAATAATAAATAATCCTTGCATTTGATATAGCACGTTATCACGTAGTTGAGACGTCTCAAAGCATTTCACAGGATATACTAAAGTGGATTGACTGTGCATTTTATGGGCGAAACCAGCAACCAGTTTGCACACAGCATTGTCCCACAAATAGCCGTGGAGTGAGTGACCAATTTTATTTGAGAATTTTTTAGCCAGGACACTGGGAGAAACGCCTTTCTCTTTTCGAATAATGTAAAGGGTTGATGACCATGTGGGGTATGTGATTCAGTCAGCTTGTCAGCCTCTCTCAATTGGTAGCCCTCCCGCCTCAAAGTTAGAAGGTTGTAGGTTCAGGCCCCACGTTAGGACTTTTAACTCACATAGAATGGGCTAAGAGTCCCAAACACTCGCTGTTCAGCCTACCTCATGAGGCATAGACACTTGGGAGAGGCATTGGAAGGCTGCTTGTTGCCCAGGATGATAACCAACAATGACCTGCATTTCTATAACCTCTTTCATGTGAGGTAATGTGTCAGAGTCATTTACTTAGACAGTGCTGGACACTGACCAGAGAACGGGGGGACCAGGGGGGAGGAGGAGGGGCGGGATTATAGGCATGGTTGAAGAGGTAGATTTCCAGGAAGCTTTTAACGACAGATAGAGAGTGGGGAGCGAGGCCGAGGGATTTACGGAGGGAGTAACAGAGGGCAGTGCCATAATGGCCACTGATGGGGGAGGGGGTCAAGGAACATGCACCAGACCTGAGTTTGCTGAGTGGATCACATGGGTAGGGAGGAGTGAGAGCAAGTGGAGATTTGTAAATAATTAATGCTAAAGGAGTAGTGTGGCAGAGAGAGAACATTAAGAAAGAAAATAAAACTTACCTTGAGTTAATCTGTGTGTTTGCGAGCTCTCTGGATCTCACACAACTAAGCTGGAAGTGTTTCTCCACTTTCACATCGTTAAACATGTTCAGATGCTATGGCAAACATCTTCCAAAACTTTGAGAGCTAGATTTTCCAAAACATTTTTACTGTCACTGAGGAAATTATACGGATTTACCTAAGATCGCATAAATGATTACATTTGCAGTGACTAACCTTACATCATATGGAACGATTGATTCATATGAGCTAACTTACATCTCATGAACACAGCCACCATCATACAAAAATAACCTAACATCTCACAGAGCAATTAAACTGTCACACTGAAGAATAAAATTCAGCACAAAGCTTAGCTTGAATTTGCCTACCATTATTTAGAGACTTCCATAGCATTCCATAGATGTTATTTATTACATTCTCCAGATCCCACCAAAACATTTCTACAGCACTGTGACTAGCTAAAATAACCTCTCATTGAAATAAGGAACTAAACTGGTGTTTTCCACAGTTACAACAAAGAACACAGCATGAACACAGTTTGTAACAGTGCAAATGAATTGTTTTCCATATAATAATAATAATCCTTGCATTTGATGTAGCATCTTATCACATCTTCGAGACGTCTCAAAGCACTCCACAGAATATACTGTAAAGTGAATTGACTGTATATTTTGTGGGCGAAATGTGGCAATGAATCAAATATTGTGCATTTTATTAAAACAACTCAAAGTACTTCATAGAATTATTGTCAAGTGTAGTGACGATTTTGTATAAGGAAAATTTGCTGACCTTTACTCAAAATGTATCATGGATCTTTAAATGTCAACCTAAACAGATGAGATGTTAAAGTGAATTTCCACTTAAGTAATATTGAAATTTAGCATATGTGTTTCTTTATGGACAAGAATGGCATAATATACAATACATTTCAATTTATATAGTGCCATTATGTTGGGAGGACATCTCAAAGTGTTTTATTTATCGTTCCTGTATTAGGTTGAGCAGTTGCGGAATTTTGACCAGAGTGTTGCTTTCCAGGATAGTGACTCAGTTTATATGATCCTTATATGGGTATAATAATTGTTGCATTTGATATAGCGCCTCATCATGTTGCTGAAACATCTCAAATCGTTTTGCAGAATTTTACTGTAAAGTGCAATGATTGCATATTTTTGAGCAAATTGAACAAAACAATTTGAGTTAATATAAAAACTAACAATGATATTTTTTGCATTTGATAGCCAGTAAACTCCTGATAACAAGACACTGACTTAACTAGTCACTACCAATTAAGTAGCTGACAATATCCCAGCTCTTTCATGCAATGCAAAATAAGGGAAACCGCTTTACTTGTCACTCTGCTTAACACATAATTAGTTGCATTGTAGAAATTCTTGTAAGTACTTACAATGTAAAATTGATTAGATAACTAGGCCTATAGGATAGTGCCTTGCATTGCAAAGGCCTCCTGCCCTCTGGTAGAGGGAGAGCACACATGCTCAGGTGCATCGCATTGATGTCTGCTCTGTGACAGAAGAGGGTGGGACACCTTGGGACCCTCCAATAGACCAGAGACCTCCGCACTACATCTGAGCCTGTGTGCCCAACCTCCGCCAAGAACCTGCATCAATTATAGCACCATCTGTGGCCTGGGAGGATTTATACCTAACTAGCCACTCTGGAAAACTAGTCGCTGATAATGATAAAATGATAACCTTGCATTTGATATAGTGCTCACGTCATTGAGATGTCTCAAAGCGCCTAAGAACATATATATAAGAAATGTTAGACAAAGAAAAGTCCATCTAGTTCATCTTCCACCGTGCTGGCGGTTACACGCTTCACAGAATATATTGTAAAATGAATTGACTGTGTATTTTGTGGGCGAAACAAGGCAGCCAATTGCACACAGCATGTCCACAAACAAGTCGTAGATTAAATGACCAAATTACATATATGTATATTTGGGGGGATTATTACCCCCAGAAAGCTATCCGCCAAACGACTGACAACCCGGTTCTTCCTTATTGCTAGGTAAACTTGGTACACGGAGTAAGGAAACTTGCTTAAGGATTCGTCCTACCCAGGAATCGAGCCTGGGTCCTCTCGCTTACGAGGCGAGCACACTAACCATTATGCTGCGGGTCTCCGGGCTAAGCCCTTTTCCCTTTTCCCTTGGACGAGTGATCAGGAGTTTACTGTAAACATCTCATATTGTTGAGATCATCGTATTGTCTCAAAGCACTTGACAGGATTTTACTGTAAAGTATGATGACTGTATTTGTAAGCGAACCAGCCAACCGCCATCATGGAACAAGCTCCCAAATGCTGTGCTCCACCACTGGTAACTTCAAGGGCAGCTTAAGGACAAAACATTGTCCTTTGGAATGAGATGTTAAACTGAGATCCTGTCTGCCGGTTCAGATGGACATTAAAGATCCTGTGGCACTATTTAAAAACAGAAAGGGGTTCTCTGGCCAACAATTTCCCGGGTAAAATTGGGAAATGTGGCATGGTAAAAAAATGTCGTGGCATGAACCCACAACCTTCTGACTCGGAGACGAGAGCATTGCCAATTGAGCCAGAATGACACCCTAGGTTGGAGCGGGTGGATTCACACCACAGGTTGCATTTTTCATGTATTTCTGATTATCTGCCTGCCTTTTCGATTGTATGAATACACGTGTCTTGGACAAAGCACATCTTAAATTGTTTACAAGCTTGATTTTCTCCACCCTAGGTGCACCTTGTAAAATGCTGTTTTATAATCTGTAAATCATAATCATAATTTGCAAAACTGCAACCACAACCTCCCCAAAAGCACAGTTAATTAAAAGCCTTAGCAGGTAAGACCAAGCAACGGATCTTTTCCTCTGAAGCTAAAGATGATTATTAACTTTTCATTCTAACTCAGTTTTTCTCATTGCACCAGTGCAGCAAAATATCCATGATTAACTCTTAAAACAACAACAACAACTTGCATTTATATTGCGCCCCCCTCATGCAGGGGAGCATCTCAGC